ACATTTGGGTCTGTAACCCTGCCCTTTATCTGATTTAACTGACTTTCATTGTAATCATGTGCAGTACCTACAAGAATTTCTCTCTTCCCTAGAAATACTTAAAGGCAAAATACCAGGCAACACCTGAAGAAGTCTGCCACCCGCATTGACTGAAAGGCTCCTCTACAGAAAAACATTACGCAGGCTTCACACTGAGACCCCTAAAGTGCTCAGATCATCCAGATGCTTGCCAAAGTGAAGCCTTTATGCTTCCCACAGGAACCCTTCAGGAAGGAGGTAGGGAGAAACCCATAATGCTTTAAGGGCACTCCCTGATTGATCCACTGGCAATATGTCAGCTCTTAGATTTTATCACTCGTTCAAAATTACAGAATTGTTCCTATTTAAAGAAATAATTCTGCATCTATGCTAAAAAGAAAGAAGAATGTCATAGGAAAAAACATCTAAATAATAACTGACATTTACATGGAGAGATTGCAGAAGACAAGAATCAAATTCCCTTTAGCTCTAGATTAGATAGGTGAATGGCTGTTGTTCATAAATAATTATGAACTATTGTATTGTAGAGCTATAAAGTTATGCATATGCAAAAAAGTAAGATTTATCCTCAAGAATTAAATCAGGACTCATGTTAGACCCTAGTTTTCTATTTATTTTATGGTTTTGGTCTGCCACACATGTCATCAAGCCATTTTGTGTTGATTTTTGTGTAAGGTATGAGATGGTAGTCTAATTTCATTCTTTTGTGCGGTAGTCCAGTTTTCCCAACCCCATTTACTGAAGACTTTCCTTTCTACAGTATATACTCTTAGCTCTTTTGTTGCAAATTAACTGTCCATAAATAAGTGGGATTATTTTTGTTCTCTCAATTTTATTCCATTGGTCTGGGTGTCTGTTTTTGTTACAGAACCATACTATTTTTATTATTATAAATTTATAGTATTCTTTGAAGTCTGGATGTTTACTACCACTCCACTCTTACTCTTTTTTTTTTTTTTTTTTTTTGGTCTTAATTGTTCTGGTTATTTAGGATTGTTGTGGTTCCATATGTATTTCACTGTTTGTCCTATATCTTTTAAGAATGCCATTGACACTCTGACAAGGATTACATTGATTCTATATATGACTTTGAGTAAGATAGACATATTGACAATGTCAGTTTTCCAGTCCATGAGAAGGGAATGTCCTTCCATGTCTTTGAGTTTCTTCTGTTTCTTTTAACAATGTCTTACAGTTTTCATTGTGTAAGAAAACCATCACCTACTTTGTTAAATTTACTCCAAAGTATCTAGTTCTTCTTGGTAAAGTTGTAAATGGGATCTTGATTTCTTCCTCTTTTGCTCATTGTTTACATGTAGCATGACAACTGATTTTTGTACAATTTCCTAACCTGCCACTATGCTGAACTAAATTATTATTTCAATTTTCAGGATTGTTTTGGCTATTCAGGGTCTTTTGTGATTCCATACAAATTTCAGTTTGTTCTATTTCTTTGAAGAATGTTCTTGGAATCTTGATAAGGTCTACATAGAATTTATATATTGTTTTTGGTAAGTGGATTATTTTAACAATGTTTAATCTGCTAGTCTATGAGCAATGAGTAGTCTTCTGCTTCTTTATGTCTTCTTCTGTTTCTTTTACTAGTATCTTAGAGTTTTCATGGTATAAGTTTTACCTTCTTTGTTACCTTCACTCCTTCACAATGCAACATTTTACTTTTTTCCTAATTTGGATTCCTTTGTCTTGACTAATTTCTCTAATTAGGACTTCTAATACAATAGCAATGAGGGAAGTTGACATCCTTGTCTTGCACCAAATCTTAGAGGAGAAGCTTTCAATCGTTCACCATTATGTATGCAGTTAGCGGTGGTTATGTTATTATTTTGACTTTTATTCCACATATTCCAATATTTTGAAAGTTTTGGGTTTATTATTTTAGTTCCTTCAAAAGAAATTTCTGTTGTCTGCATTTCCTCTGTGTAGAGCATACTCTGTTGATTTTTTTCTTTCTCTATGTCTCTGTCTTGCTTATAAAATGAGCATCTTAATATTTTATTGCAACTGTGTATACTAGTTCTCCCACCTAATGTTCTAGTGCTTTGTGCTGTTGTTTTTGGTTTGGGGCCGCTTTATGTGTTAATTAAAGTAGGTTTACCCCTTTTCTGGAGCCTCTGATATTTCTAAATTCTGGGTATGCTCAGTGCTAAAAACTACTGGTAGGTTTAGAGTAATATAAGGTACCCAGACATAATTTTAATATAGACAGTTCTAATATTTTATCTCCAAGATTTATAATAACCCTTGAGATAGACTCTATTAATTAGTTACTTAAGTAAAATATGCACTGTAATTATATGGGCATGGAATCCAAGTTATTCACTGGTAAATGGAAATTGAACTTTACTTCCACTTTCTACTGAAACAGTATATAAGAGAATAATTAACCAAGCATTTCCCTTACTTTAAAACCTTCAGTGTCTTCCACTTACATCTGAGGTAAAGAACAAATAAGCTAATATATAATTTAGAGTAATGTTCCACTAATCTTAACTTTCATCTACAACTTTCTTTTTTTCCTATTAAAGAAATTCATGGTTTGTGATCAGGGCTTCTCAAACCTGGCAGGGACTGAGTGTCACTTGAAGTTTCCACAACATACTAATACCCGGGATTCACCTGTTAACATTGGTTCACAGTCTTGATATTGGAATGGTGAATATTCAGGCTTTAAAATTTCTTCAGTTGATTCTAATATTCATCTAGTTTTTTCAACCAGTAGGGATTAAAACACTTGTTGAATTACCATTTTTAAAAGCTTTCTTCTTGTTCTGCTTGATGTCCTGTCCCTTTTCAACTTACCTTTCACATATCTTCTCTATCTTCCAATTTATAATTGCACATATTTCATTATTTCCTCCTCATACTTCAAAGCTCATTAGATCAAACTCTCCTAAGCCTCCTGCTGAGGGAAGATCTACTGAGTAGTACTTGGAAGCCTTCTAATGACCTATTTTACAGCCCCCAGGGAGGACAAAGAATGACTTTGTGTCTTATCAGCTCAAGCGATCTATATTATCCCATCAAGCTTCTCACTCTCATATCAATAAAAATGACAATGTTGGATGGAGATAGGTGGTTAGAAAGGAAAGTGAACAAGCCCATGTTGGTTAACTTCCTGTTATTCCTCTGAATGAGGTAGGTTAAGTGGAGAGCCTTAGGAGGTGCCTCTGGTATCTGACTTTGCTGTGAGTTGCTCCAAATTGATCTTGCTAGAAATAATTATTCCTACTTTTCTGAAGAAAACAGTGAGTTTCATATTTATGCTAAAAGCAGTTGGTCTCCTTGTGGACTGACACAAAGGTTTAGAAAAGCAATCGACTCCTTTTCCTGTGTTCACAGAATACTTTTTTGTGGACTTTCTGTCACACCTGTAGCGCAGCCTTCTTGTTGACAAGATATTTCTTGTTGAAGTATAGGGTTTGGGGAGGTAACAGCCGGAACAGTTTACCATTAGCAGGAATCTTAAGATTTGGAGTAGTTCCTTAACAAGTAAGACGCTTTATAAAATGGGCCTTGGATTTTATTTGTCTGTCCGTTAGAAATGCACATGATACCGTATGCTAGGTGTAAGGAAAGAACAAGGCCTGGTGTAAGGAAAGAAGAAGGCCAGACTTCAGTTGACCAGTTATTTTCCTTAAAACTGAAGGTGGCCATAGTTTGGAGGGAGAGATAAGACTTCAGATCAAATTTCCATCTGGTGAAGTGTCTTAAAAAATTATTTCTGTGAGCAGGGTCTTAGCAGTTATAATAGCATAATATGACCATTTTTTCCACAGAACTAGACTAATTTGGGAATTTTTTTTATGATTTGAGTATTTTTCACAAGTTATCTTTTGTTAGTGCCAGAAAAGTTTTTACTTCATTAGTTGCCATTCCTTGAGTAGTCATTTGCATGAGTTTCTTCAACCAATATATGTATAGGTTTATTATCTTTTCAAACTCGTTTTTGGTTGCAGAAACTACTCTCTTTAAGCCATTCAATTACAAATATTTGGTAAGTTACTCTTACTCATTTTGGAAATTGAAGTATATGTTTTTAACCATTTTCAATTTTTTAAGTCACAACAAAGTTAACAAGTGTACAAAAATCTTTAAAAGTATGCTGAAGTCTTCAAAATATATGTCTGTATGTGTTATTATTGTACCATGATCAAGAAACAGAATCTAAGAAGCAAAGCCATTCAGCTTTATCTACATGAATGTATTAACCCAACATTCAAATCACTGGTAGTTATCTGTTACACCCAAAATGGAGAGATACAAGAATGTATTTAGAGTAGAATTATACATCCTAACAAAACAAAGAAATTTTGTGACTACCCCTATTATCAATTTGTAGGAGACTAAATAGTAAATGTTTATTCTACATAATGGAATAGTTCTCACTTCAAAGAGATGAAAATAAATGTACTACAGCTCTAAAAATCAGTATATATAAAGGTCACAAAGGAGTATAAAAAGAAAGCATATAAGAATACATATCTTTCTGTAAGTTATTAAGTTATCCTAACCTATACAAACTATATAAATGCAGTGAATGTACATTTTGGCATGGAGTGACATTAGAGAGGAAGGTGGGGAATGAGGATGCATAATAGAAACTTCAGTTTGATGACTTTCTCTAGGATGGCAGAGTAATCACAAAGCTGTGAGCTGGAAGGAGAAGACTGTGGGTTTGGAGAGGTGTTGATTCACCTTATAAAAACACATTCAACTGGTTGCATGTTCTTTTCCTAATGGAAGGTTTTTACTAACATATTGATAAATTTTATTATGATACTATGTAAGTGTGTGTATCTAAATCTAACTATAGATTTTATGTATTGATATGGCATATATTGTACATATTTTGCATGTATGACATCTCATATTCAGAGTTAAGAATGGTATATTCAAATATTCATTGTCTAAAAAAAGTATTGTCTGCCTGTATTTTACAGCCAGTCTGTAGAGAAGACACTTATCTAAATACTTGCTCAAAAAAATGTTTTCCAGTCTGTGGAACTAATGGACATACTTACTGCAATAGATGTATTTTCTGCATGGCATTCAGGTAAGAACACAACGGTGACTATTTCTTCTCCAGAGTAATGAAAAAAAAAAAAACCATCAAAAATAATAAGAAATTTATTTGCTGATAATCTAGGCACAGTAAGGAATAACTCTAATTCTTTCTCTAAAAGCTAAGAAAACATACTTGTACCATTCCTTAAAGTTCTTTTGAAAGTTAAGATTCTGTGGATTTATCAGATAAATCTGTTTTATCAGTATAACCATGATGGATGTTCAGCAAATAAACAAAAGAATATAAAGATTTTGTTGATTGTGGATTACTAATGGTAGACTAGCAACTGTTATGTTTATTTGAAGCTCTGATACTCAGGAGTCGATGTAGCTGGTGAAATCTTAAGAATCATCCTTATACACAGGAAGCTCAGAAGCATAACTGAGCAAGGACCGCTCTCAGGCTATACTCTGAAGCCCATCGCCATGGACTTATAAATGCCATAAAGGGCATCATTTAATTGTCAGCTTTGCATCCTGAAACCAAAATGGCCTTCCAAACCTTTCTTTGAGGACACCTCCATCCAAATTTTCTTCCTTTCTTCTTGCTGAAGGAGTTTGTGGTCTAAGGCAATGCTAACCTGAATTCCCCTCCCCATTTCCTTTTTTCTTCCTTCTCATAAAACCTTTGTCAGTTTATTCCCCAAAATGTATCTGCCTCTTGGAAGATCTAGAATAGCGCAATCCCTAGTACCCTCTTTTCCCAGATTTAGTCTGAAAACTGAGTCAAAGTGAGCCAACAGGAAATATCAAGTAGCCCTATGGTGGAGGACATTTTCGGGGTTTGGCATGGGTTGAGCTGTTTGTGGATGTGAAGCCCCGTCTTTCTAACATGTCCCAAGTACCAAACCTCCCTTTAGCAGCATTTTGTACATTGCCCAATGATCTTAATGCGTTCTTTTAATAATTCCTTTCTTTCTGTTGACTCTTTCTACAGAGAAACCGGTGGTAGCAAATTTATTCTTGCTTATTATGGTAAATGTTGACCTTTTCCTGGAGCTACACGTTCATATGTGATGCATTTTGCAACGAATTCTATTTCACAGTCAAGGTCTTTTATTCTTAGAAATCTAGTGAATCCTATAGAATACAAAATGAAATACAAGGTACTCCAAGTTCTTTCCAACTTTAAGATCTCTTGATTTTGGAATTTCTGTTCTCTATGTTCAGTTTTTCAAAGACAGATTGAAAAATTGATATTTCAATTATATATGTGATAATGTCAAACCTAAATTGCTCTAAAATCTTAATGGTTTTGCTCACTAAAATTTTAATGATATACTTAAATTTCCCTTATTTATTTGGTTGGATAAAGGGCTAACATATTTTTGATACCTATAACATATTTTTGATACCTATAATCAAAGAGATAACTTCCAAAGCTGACCAGATATTATATTACTCGTTTTCAGAAAAGGTACAAGTAACTTGAATTTCCTCTGTTCTTAAGATTCAGAAACTTCAGGAGAGGTTTCTAGGAAATAGAAAAATCTCATAATCCCTCCAAGTTAATATTGTGATCATGGTAATGCACTTGATGTTACAACCTAGGATGTCAATAAATGAAACCATTATTCAACCTATAGCTATTAAGTTGCTAATACTTAAGAAATATACTAAGTCTTAAGAAATCTAAGACTTCAGAGACTTGGGTAAATGTATCACTTGTTTTTCACTGGTGGACAAATCAGTTGAGCGATTGATCCTGGGTAATCCTGGGATGACAGGCATCACTGACTTCTTTGACTAGGACTTTATTATATCCAAGCCAGATGCTTCTTCATTAGTTAGTAAAAAAGCTCTGATTAGTCTTCTTCCTACTTCAAACTCTGGAGGGTCTCCTACTTAACTCTGAGAAAAGGTCCAGTCATTCAATATATAATTTAGGAAACTGTTCTAAGTGGTCTTACTATCATTTCTTTCACTTTCTTTCTCTGTGTTTCTCCGTGTTCACAAACTGTCCTCAAACCAGGTTCCCAGAACTGAAGCTCAAGTGGGAGTCTTTTGAACATTCTTGGTTGTGAATCTGTACTGTAGTTTTACAAGATGTTCCCATTGGAAAATTGTTTAACAAGAACACAAGAACTCTCTGTCTTGGTATTTACAGCTTTATGAGGATCTTTGTTATCTCAAAATAGAAAATTCAATAAAAATCCAATTGAGTCTACTGTGTTCCCAGCGTGACTACTAAGCACCTAAGTATATATCTAACTGTAGTTACCTAAAACTCACTTTTTTTCTTTCTTGCTTTGACTCTTCTTTCCTTTCCAGTTCAAAAGTTTAAAAAGCTATTCTACCTCATCAAGTTTTCAGGCAATTAGTATTTTCTTCCTTTTCCATACTTCTGGGTTCATCAGATCAAATTGTCCCAAACCCCCTGCTGAGGGGAGATCTATTGGGACATCTTCGTGATGTGGGACCCAAAATACCTCAGACTCTAATCTGCTGGGCCATCTAGCTCAGCTCACTGAGCTCTTCACCAACAGGACATTAAAGGAGACTTCTCAGACCTCAGTCAGGTAAAGGTTCAAGAAGAAAGGGCAGGCACAATAGGTATCATCTACAAAGCCTTGGCCCTCACTCTCCACTGCCTTCTGGACCAGGTAGGTGAAGAGGGGAAGGTGTGGAGTGGGTCCTGGGGTGTAGCCCTGGAGCTGTATCATGTTGGTTGTTGCTAAAACAACTGTTTCTGTTTTCTGAAGAAAAATAGAGACTCTAATGGGTTCACATCCTTAGCCAGAGCTATGCTTCTTGTAGGTTGGGCCAAGGGGGGAAGTGAGCAGCCTTCTTCTTAAAGGGCAAGGAGGGCTTCTCTTGCTTTCTCTCAAGTCTCTATGAGGCCTTCTGTTCATGTGTATTTCTTAATGATTCTTAATGAAGTTGGGGTTGGGGGGCAAGGAAAAAGGGAAGACTCACTACTTTCAGAATCTATGGCAATTGTATAGTTTCTTCACCCATGAGAAACTTTCACTGGGAAAATGGGCATTTAGTCCCCAAGATGTGTTAAAATATTTTTGGGGTTCCTTCCACAGAATTGGTAAGATGTTCCTGCTCTCTTCATGGATCAAAGCCACTATTGTCCTTGCCTTGGTATCTCCTCTTCAATCTGGTGAGTCGGTTTTTCTGTCCTGGGTGAGACATTTCACACATCTTAGACCAGGCAGGAAAGAACTGTTGTGATCTCAAAATGGAGGAACTTGTTTTATAGGTTTTGTAGTCTTGAACCTGATAAAAGTAAAACAGGATGTGTCACAGGTGATTTTTTTTTTTTAATTGCCTCAGTGAGTAACTTTTTTCTCGTTTTCACCTATGAGTGGTGGGGAGGTGGGTTAGAAGAAGCAGTTCCACTTGTTCGTTGAAGGTATTTACTTGATTATTTTATTTTTCCTTTTTAAGAAGTCATGATAGCTGAATTTAGAGTAAGGAGTAAGGCTGTCTTTTAGGTATAACATTCATTTACAATCAGATTTGTTTGCCAGTTCAAAATCTGCTAATGTCAGGATTTTGTGTAAGGAGGGAACTCTCGATCCCTCTGATGACAATTTATTTTTTCTGAAAGCCCAATGTCCATGAATTCAGAATAAAGTAGCTGTGATATGTTCAATAGATACATATGAGAGCCGAGTACTACTTATTAATTAATTACTTCATATTTAGTGACTTTATACACGGTATGTTAAGCAGATTAAGCAAGGCATTGTTTTCTCTGACTTCATGTTTCACCTATAAAAATGAAAAATAACAACAGGAGGATTTGGTGATCATTGAACATTACATAAAATTTGTATTCATAGAGTGAGATTAATTTGGAATT